CGCGTCTGGTTCCTGCCTCCTCCCCGCTTCCTCTCCTGGCCAGAGTGCCGGGGCACGGGGTGGGGGGGCCCGTGGCCGCTGGCCTCAGCAAAAGCGCGTGTTTTTTCAGGTCCCCAAAATCAAGGAACCCTGAAATGAGCCTCTCAGGGAACAGCCCTCGGGGGGGGGGGCGGCAGGAGGAAAGCGCCAGACAAGGGTGCTATTCACCAATCCGTTTGGGTTAAAACAAACACCCACACCCCAAGGAGGGGGGTAAATCGGGAAGGGGGACTTGGAGGGCGAAAGTGGGAGGAGAGGCAGGCAGCGAGCGGTCAGGACCACAGGTGCTCAGACCCTCCCGCCCCACACCGCATGCGCCCGGGGCCTGAGCAGGGAGCCAGCGTGCTCGCGGGTTCCCACCGGCCCGCACCAGAGCCCGGGGATTTCCACCACCCGGCTTCGGAGACCCGTCGTCGCCGGCGCTTTCCTGCCCCGGGGCTGCCAGAAGGCGGGGCGTCAGAGCGGGAAGCCCTCGCTGCGGCCTCGCTGTCCTCGGTCAAGTCTGGTACAGAAGGACAGCCATCAGTGCTGTCCCCAGTTGGGGTGCATGGGCTAGGAAAATCGCAAAGTATTTGGACTCATCTTGCTTAGCTAGGTGGTTCAACTCGCAACTCGGGAGCGAGTGAGAAAGAGGAGGCACTTAGCATTTAGTACATACTTAACATTATGATGTTCCACTTGGACTTGGCTGACCCTGAATAGCTCTGTGACCTTGACCAGATCACCTGACCCTGTATTTCTTGGTCCGTAAAAGGGGTATAATTAGTCTCATTGGCCTGTGTGGAGATAAATAATATGATGTACTTAATAAAATGGAAGCGATTATGAACAATAGAATGACCAGCATTTGTCCAGAGCTCTGAAATGCCTTCTTCCCAGACATTATCTCACCAATCACCACACCAGCCTTGTGACTTAGGTGTTACTTTCAACACCCTCCTGTGTAGGTCAGGAAAGCACATCCAGAGCTAGTCCAGAATTATTGAAAACCAGGTTCTCTGGCTCTAAATCCAGTGTTCCTTCTTCTGTTCCAGGGGTGCCAGCCTTTTTTGGAGGATGGGGGTGGGGGTACCCTAGCTGTTTGTAAGAAACTGCAAGAAAGTTAAAATGTCTCTCCTACAGAAATTTTCAGGTGAAGAATGCCACTACTGTGCCAGTAGATGGGAGATTATGCATAAATTAGCACCAGTTTGGAGGGAGTTAAAATCAGTCATCATTCAGCTTTGAGCAAAATTGTGTAGCCATGATTCCCAGGCATCCCCTGAGACCTTCCTGGATTTTTCTATACCCTGCCTCTAGGTAGAGGTGATGGAGGAAAATCTGAAGCTGTAGCACATGCTGAAGTATTTAGGAACTTACTGAGTTTCCCTTACTGAGGATAGCTGTTGATTTTAAATGTCCACACTTGAGAAGGACCCTCAGGCTGCATGATGAAAGAGAAGGAAGTGGAGAAGATCCACTTAATGGTGGAAGTAACCTCTTTCCAAACCCGCAAGTCAAGTAACAAACCTTTGCATTCACCAGATTCAGGTAATACGGACTCTATGTGCAGCCACCCAATAGGTGCTGTCCTGTACTTGGTCTGGGGGGCCACTTGATGACTATGGCAGGCTACTCCTCAAAGCACTTCTAGCCTAGGAGAGGCCTGTACCTTGACAATCAAGCCTGGCATAGGTACCACAGGAGCTGGAAATCAAGGGAATAAGATAGCCCTCAACCCTGACCCATCTAGAGGACCACCATCTGGATAACCTTAACTTCCCTCTCTGGCCAGACCCAGAGGATTCAAGCCTGACGTGTCCCGATGAGTGTGAAGCTATTCTCATCACTTACATTTTGTTTCAAAGCTGAAACTTGGGTGCCAGAGGGCCTAGTGGGTTTCCATCTCCTAGCTCCTAAACGTGTGCCCTTCCATTGCCATTCATCAGGTTACTCAACTATTTAGAGAATACTTTCTCAGCCCTAGGGATCTAATGATGAATGAAGCCAGGCTGACTCTAGCCCAGAATCTAGAAGCTTCCATTTACTCCTAGGTGTCCTAGTTTCCTGAAGAAAAAGCCCCAAAGTCATCAGAGACAGTACTTGTACAACACACCCCCACATGACTGACGGAGAGCAATCTGTTTATTCTCTCCAGGCCCAGTTTCCTCATCGGCTAAGTGTTGATATTACCTGTTTTCCAAACTTTGGGGGCTTACAGTGAGTATCTCTATTTTAATACCTAGGGGTGTAGAAAGGCAAGCCATTGTCAGGAATCTCCTTTCCTGCACTAAATCTTTCTAGGTAAAATAGCTAGAAGAATTGAGACCTGATCCATACTCTTCAGTCGTCCTCCTGGCCAGCTCAGCATCTCTGTTTTTCTGGGCTGATGGGCAAACAGTGACTGCCTCTGGACCTAAAAGCTAGGAGGAGACAATAGCCAGGGTAGGTTGTCTCCTCATCTCTCCTAGGCCAACAAGGATTTCCCATCCCCAGTTCCTGGTGGTGCCGAAGCTCGCAGCAGTTGGGATTATTGGGGGCTTTTACTTTTTTGTTTTGGTCAATTTGAAATGAAAAGAGGCAATGACCTCTTCTTTAAAAAACAAAACTAAGCAGGAAGTGTGCTGGGCCTGAGTGGCAGGGACTAAGGGTGTAATTACAGGTTTTTTGTTCAGCATTTTCATGTAATTAAATCCAAAGGAAAACGAGCCTAGCCGGGCGGCTTTGGATGCAGGGTAGATACGGGGTGGGGTGGGGTGTCTCTGTGTGTGTGTGTGTGTGTGTGCGCGTGTGTGTGTGAGAGACAGAATGTGTGTTTATTATAGGACGCCCTCCAGCTTGACAATAATGAACTCCACCTGCGAGTAAAGTGAGAAAAAAAAAAAAAAACTTAATGAGTTGCTAAAATGTTCTGAAGTTAATATTTAAGTCAAATGGGATCAGCGTTTTCTTGGAACAAAATGTGAAACTGAAAGATGAAAACAAAAGTCTTTGCAAAGGGGTTTCTAGGCTTTGTGAATCAGGCCCTGGAGTCCCACTCCACTAAACTTTACAGCGCNATCACCACCCCCACCCCCTGCCTTACGCCACCTTCACCTACTCTTCCCAAGAACAGATTGTTTATCAGAACGGGCAGCCAAGAAATCTACTCCTGTTTCTGGCCTCTGCCAGAGATTAATCACACTTGGGAAAGGCACAAAACTTGACTGTGTTGGGGCGGGGCGGGGCGGGGGTTGCGAATGGGGAGAGTAGTTAAAAGGAAAAGACCAGTAATTCTGACATTTGACAAGCTAACCAAATTGGTGCTACCTTTCCCCTCCTTTATTTTAACAAGTAGGCGCAGAGGACTGAATTATATTCTGTATATTCCATTCCACTGCCTCTACCCCTCCTATGCCCCCTCCTTCTCTTAAGTCTTCATGTTTGATGCTGTAATAGTACTGACTGGCTTTTAATTCTGATTAACATTCTCAGGGGTGTGTGTGTGTGTGTGTGTGTGTTGGAGGCTGGAAAGACATTCACAAACCTGTGTGTGTGTGTGTGTGTTGGGGGCCGGAAAGACATTCACAAACGTGTGTGTGTGTGTGTGTGTGTGTTGGGGGCTGGAAAGACACATTCACAAATCTGACCGCCTGACAAATCCCCCCTTTTCATCCTTCCCTTTGAAATGACATCAAGATGGACTGGGGAGGGGTGGGAATGAAGAGGAGGCATGGAAAAAAGAGGAGGGGGAAGCAATTTATGTGCTTTTCTAAGGCAGCTAGTAAAATTCCTAGGGAGAACAAACGCCAAAATTGACTGTCTTGGTGTATTTTAGACCGGATGGTCAGGGTGACTCATGTCAGGGCTTTGCACTGGACCTGCAGCCTGGAAGCCAGGGACAGACACACAAAACATCCCTGTGGCTGGGAGGTACCCTTCTGAAGGAGGCAGGAGACAGATATTTGCTCTCGCCAGGATCCTCTCCATCAGGATTTTTTTTTTTTCTTCTCAAATTCATTGCAAGATGGATTTAAAAGAAAAAGTCTGATAAAGAAAAATCAGGGACAGAAAATGCCCCATAAAACATGGCCCCCAAAGGAAAGGTGCAGAACCCATTTGATTCAAGATATAGATATCTCCTCCCTGGATTTTTTTTTCCTTTGCTTTACAACTCTGCAGACATCAGGTTAGCAAAAGGTAATAAATAGTCCTTGCACAGCAGGGTCTGGACTAGTGAAAACAGTTTACTGAAATTAATGGGCCTCGCTTGAACCAAAACCTCCACTTTGGAATTAATGCCAGACATAGTTTTCCTGAACTCTATCCAACCGTCTAAGCAGCAGACAATTTTCGTTCTATTTGTGCTGGAAAATAAAGCCCAAGCCCTTGATCTCAGTGTAGATTATGATTAAAAAAAAAAGATTCAGCACAGTGAATGCTTTGCCAATTTGCGGCTTCTGCTAGTAGAAGCCCTTGTGCTCTGGGCTGTGCCTGACAGTCAGAACTTATCTGGTAAACTTCCCATTGAAAATCATCTCCCAGCTTCCTCCCCATCGGTGGTCTCAGAGCTCTCACCGCGGACACCCGAGAGAGATTCGAGGAAAGCTCCAGAAAAGACTCGGCTCTCAATAACAACCCTCTTCCCCAGTGCTCTTGGAAAGGCTGGATCTGAACAACGCTGCCTGCATGACCTCAATTCCCCAACCTAAATGAAAGCTGAGAGGCACCCAACCGAAACCCGCACCCACCCCACCCACCCCTACGAGGGGAGGGAGGAAGGGGGAGGGGAGCGAGTTACTTTTTAGCTTCCGCTAAGCACTTGGCAGCGCGCCAGACCCGGAGGATTCTGGGAAGCGAGAGCCTCCCCGGTATAAACTGCCAGCTCTAAGCAGCCCTGACAGCTCTGCTCCTTCCCAAACCTGGCAGCCGTTCAAAGTGCTCTTTCATTCGGGATGCTGGAAGCCTGCCATGTGCAATGCAGATTTCGCTGTGCCTGTGCGCAGAAGGAACTGATAAATGCCGTTGCGGTTGCCATGGGGACGGGAGGCTATCAGAATGGCCTTGTGATCCGCAGCCTCCTCGCGGCGCGGCAGGCTCTCGCTCCGCGCTCCCGCCCCGCCTCCCGCGAGTCGGTGAGATGGTGAAATCAATGTTCTGGAAAAAAAGGTTAACCCTCCCCGCTCTGGTGCCGAGGATCGTGAGCCTCTGAGCACTGCTCTGGCCTTCAGTGCCAACCAGCGGCCCCGCGGGCCTCCTTAACCATCCTCTGGGCAGCTCACCGTACCCCCAAACCCCCACCTCCCACCCAAACAACCGCCACCCCTCTCCTGCTTCCTTCTGCTCCCTGGCGGGGGTGGGGTGGGGGGGGCTCTCACAAAGCTGTGTTTTTAATAGAGCTTTTCAGCAAGTCCAAGACTTTTGAGTCATCACAACCCGGATGTAAACACACCAGTCCTGCCTTCTGCACAGTTTGCGTGTATTTTATCTTTTTAATAATATTTGGCTGGCAATTTAAACCGGCAAAGATGCCAGATATTTTAGCCAACTACTTACATCATGGAGCATCCATCTTGGGGAGAGTTGGGCGCCCGTTCCTTTCCTTGTTCTCCCTACCTACCCTGAGACTTCAGGAAATCTTGGGTCTTTCTGAAGGCTTCCTATTGCGACAGAGGCAACCCAGTCCCTTAGAACCCTTGGGCTTTAGAATGAGCATGACATCACCCTAGGCGACACAAACAGAGGGTATGTCCCTGTCAGAGACAAGACATTGGGTGACGGGAGGTGGAACAGGTCTTTCATTTACGCTGAGAGGAAGGGTGCGCCTGTCTGGTTGGTCGTTCCCTCCCCGCCCCCATTTTGCACAAGCTTCTATTTGAAACACCGTCTGATTCAATGTACAGAGACAAAATAGCACACTCAGATTTGGTACAAGTTCAGGTCTGTAATGCCAACTCTCCGGGTGGCCTGTTTAATGGGGGGAAAAAATGAAATACTCCATTCCAGCCAAGGCCTGTGGAGGCCAAGGAGGTTTAGTGATTTATTTACATTGAGCAGTATTCCTTCTCAACCCAACTCGCTATTTCCTGAAGGTTTCCTGAACCTAAACCTTCGTTAACATCCCAGGAAGAGAACATATTTTTCCTGTAGCTTTCAATATTTTCTGCTAAATATATTTCAGCATACTGTTTATCTAGGGTTTCAGCTTTCAGACTTTTATGTACTTTTGACACCTTGAGGCTGTTCCACTGAAAAATGGTGTATGTTTATTAAAGAGGACTTTCTGTGCTGGGTGTTAAGGCAGTGGGGATTTCTGTTGGGTCTGTCTGTATAATGAGGGCTTCAGGAGAAGAACCAAGTCAGAGGCCTGTTTGGTTTGTGAAGCCCCTTTGACAAAGCAGGCTCTACAGAGCTCACACAAACCCTTGAATACCACAGAAGGTTGAACCAAATGAGGTAGTTCTTCATAAATGCATGGCTGACATGGAGGCTGGATGGGAGAAAGATGGAAAATGCCCCAGGTTCCTGGGACTTCGCTGCAGTGTCTTTTAACCTGCCTCTCTAGTTGTCTGCTTGTGATTGTCACGGCAATTCTGGCCTAGGCTTTCTGTCTCCCTGGAATTTCCTTACTTCGAGGAGCTCCTTCCAAATAAATAAATTAATCAATAAAAGCCATCTGCTTCACCTTGCCAGCAGGCACGAGGCTGGAAGGAGTAGTGTTGAATGCGATTTTTAGGAGCATTTGGCCTTTGAGACGTTTCGAGGTGGGTTCTGGCTTGGAATTAAACAGGAATTGGAGGCAGAAATCAGGTGATTCAGAAAGTCCCTCTTTCTCCCTCACCCCCACCCATATCACCACCCCCCCTCCCATACTCACCCCCACCTTCCCCAGAAAATCCAGGCAGCTGAATTTTTGGCTCTCACAGCTGCTAAGCTTTGGCAAGCCAAAAGCATACTTCGCGGTGGTGATTTCTTTCCCAGGTTGACCGACATGTTTTTGCACTGAACGTGAGGGATGTTTCCTGACTGTGTGTATGAATCAGAGGCTGTATTTTTCATGCAGGGCTTCTGGTGACAGTTTTAAGCTGGAAAGAACAAAGCAGATCATGATGAGCCCCTATCATCAGGGTCCATAGATAAAGAGTCTATCCAAAGTGCTGGCTACGTGGAGCTCAAATGCATAAGTTCACGTTTTAGCCGTGCCCAGAGCAGTCCATGCTCCCAGAAGGTGGTGTCCATGCTCACATTTCAGACATTATCCCCTCCCCCCCACTTCCCCCCATCTGTCTCTGTCCTTGTGGTGTCTGCTTCTTTGTTGCCTTCAAAAGTTCTTCCTTTTTTCAACCTTCCTCTCCCAAATGGGAAGATCCAAAAAAGCCATTTTGGGGCCCTCAGTGTCTTCCTAAATGGAGCCACATCCTGAGATCCCAAACAGCTTAGACCATACCCAAGTTCTGCCCATTAGAGTAGGATAATGACCGAGGGGAGTCGGTGGTGTGGCCCTTCTGTCGCAGGACCCAAGGAGTGGGCTTCCCAGAAGTCCGTGGATTAGGAAGGTCTGCTACAGGGGCTGCCAGGGAACAACTCCCTTTTGTTTTTCTGTCTAGCATGTGACCAGAATGCTGCCAGCTAATTTTAACCCCACCAAAGTACTGCTGGAAAAAAACAAAAAACAACAACAACCAAAAAAAAAAACCCCAACAAAACAAACTGTCTTGCATCTGGCGAGAGAAATGCTGTGGGCTGGATAAAAGCTTTTTCAGCTTGTGTTCCTTCCTGTTTCAGTTTCCAAACTTGCATTATCGGTAACCTGAAATATGATGAGTTGCACCAAATTCCTGGATATTGCACAAGAGGACAATGAGTCTATTTCGGGTGCTGTGAATATGTCTGGCACAGACCCTGGAAGTCACTGTTTTCAGGAGGGAGCAGATTTGGGGTTTCCTGGTGCTTTCTTTCTAGGGTCTCAGAGCCCCCAGAGGTACAGGGGTGGGGTGGGAGTGCTCTCCACGTCAACCATGCAGACTGCATCTAAAAGGACACGGATAGAAAGTGAGTGGGTTGTGGGGTGGGGGTGGGGTGCTAGCCGAGGCACTGGTGACCTTGGGATGTGAAGTGGTGGATGGTAAGGCAGTGTCTGAAGTGGGACAGCAGAAGCAGGAAGAAGTGGGTAGAAGGAAGCTTTCACAATAGCTGGGGGGGGGGTGCTCCCTGGGACACAGGCCCCCAGCTCTCCTACTAAATTTCCATATCCGTTTTCAGCACCAGGAATTCATGGAGGACTTCATGGAGGTCCTCACCCTGGATACTGAGTTCTCAGAGCATTTCCATGGCGGTTAATTTGTTGCTGTCTGCCTAGGCTACCATGGGTGCTAGGGAAAAGGGACGGAATCTCAAGAGCCAGGAAATGAAGAGGCCAGGATAAAACAGCGTGGAGCTTGGCAGCTGCTGCCGGCTGTTCTCAAACCACATAGTGAGATGGGCTAGCCTCTACCTGAGGGGCTGCGGTGCAGTTGTGGAAGACAATATGATGGCAAAGAGACCCCAGTGAAGGCTGAGCACTCCCAGAAACCAGGACGGCTTGGTGGCATTTGTCCTGACAGACAGCTGCTGAGAGCTTCAGCTGCCAGAAAAGCCATTTGCTCAGGCTTGCCCTGTCTGGCCAGCTTCGATGCACTTAAAAGGACCCTTGTTGGTCTCTGAGGTCCCCCTCTCTGCACCTGAATCCTCCCATCTTTGGAAGACAAGGGAAGTTCCTAGGAGACATTCGCCCCACCGTCTGCCTCGAAGCTGCTGCTGTAACCTTCCCACAGTAGTCAACATCAGCTGGCAAATCCCTAAATTAAGGTTCTGTTTACTCTGTTGTTCCAAAGGCTTGTTTTCAGCAAGAGGCTGTGCTTTAATTAAAAAGATGAGCGCTCATGAGTAAGTGAAAATATTTTTTGACTGCCTCACAAATCTGTTTGACTTTCCTTTTCTTGCATTTCACAGCAGGGGTGGGGGGGAGGGGAAGGGGGGCAAGGCTGATCAGCACGTTTATCCGTAAGACCACTAAAAACCTTTCCTGTTAGCTGACAGCTGGCTCTTCGCCAAGGGAACCCAAAGTCCAGAATCTGTTCCTCGGGGTGTCTCTGTTTGCAGATCCCCGCCCACATTCAGGTGTCGTGAGGACACATTTCTCATCTACCTTTCCGGCCAGAGGATTCTTAAATGTTTCCTCACGACGCCACAGCTGGAATGCAGCTGCTGCAGGGTGGAGCAAACGCAAACTCCTGTGGGTCAGCCGGGTGAGGGAGGGCAAGGAATCTTGGAAGGTTGGGAAAGTCCTTCTCTCTGAAGCCAGAGCTCAAGAATGAGTAGGGCCCCTGGTGTGAAAGCTTTCCAGATGGGGGAAGGGAAGGTAAGTTTTTGCCCTCTGGGTAGATTCCAAAAAAATCGCTTTGGGGAGGCCAGCGATTTTGGAATTGCCTTTAAAGCAAACAGCACAAATGTTTAAATTGACCTGGAAAACCCTTCCTTTTTTCTTTCCCTACAATCCAAGTCTGTTCCCTTGAACATTAATCAACTGGAACGTTTGCCCAAACTTCTCTCCTCCCCCACCTCTTTATTATTATTATTATTATCTTTGGTTCAGAAAACTTTTGGAAGCTTTCCCAGGCTGGAGCTATAGAATGCTTCCAGGAAAACGCATAACGAGTGTCTGTGTTTTGAGTTTCTCTGGAGGGGGGACTAAACATGTTTTTCAGAAAGACTGAGCTGGGGGCAGCCAGGTCTTATGCAAGAGGCCGGCCAAGCAAAAGGGCAGACGGTACCGGAAAGGTCTGTGTGCACCCAAAAAGCGCTGAGATGAAGGTATGGTTTAGCCGGTCCGCCTGTTCTCGTCTTTCAGACCCGTGACCGCAGCTGCCTCTGTGTCAGTGTGTGCGTGAAGCACCCCAGTCTCCAGTAGATGGGCGGAGAACAGCTGGGTGCCAGGCTCCGAACTTCATTCTCAAGTTAACAGCACTTGTAATTTCTGCCTAAAGAACACTTGGAAATTCAGCTGGAAAAGTGCAGGGGGTCAACACTCACCCAGCAGGCAGAGAGCCCAGCCAGGCGTGGAATGTAATGGACAAAAGAGGTGTCCTGGGGCTCTTGCTGCCAAGGTGGTGCCAACCCCCAGCCCATGCCAGCACCACTCTCCTTGGGACCAGAAACAGACACAGCTGCATGCACGCATGTGTCGGAAACATCTGCACATAAAACCAGAAAGCACGTCCAGGAGACCCAGGGTGATGGGCACTCGCAGGACCCCTCACCCGTAGACGCAGCTCTTGAAGGTAAAGGGAGCCGGGCTCTCCTGGAAAGACACTCCATTGAGGACGGTTCTTGAGAAAAGGAGGGAAACAGTTCCATAGAAGGCCCCCCCGAATGAGGGCAGAGCTAGCCGCTGCAGCCATCCTCCAGTGTGAAAGTGGGTTCCTTCTCAGTCAATCCTCTGTGGCCGTTTCAGGGCCCAAGAGAGGAAGGAGCAAGCAGGGGTCTGCAGTGCTGACAACTAAAGGACACAGCTCCTGGCTCTCCTCAGCCTGTGAATCTGAAGATTATTTACCGATAACACTGTCATGGTTCCTGCAGTAGGGTCTCTTTCATTTCTGCCCAGGGGACATACTGACTTCAGAAGCCACCCCCCCCCCACCCCCNCACACACACACACACACACACACACACACACACACCAGCCCACAGCAGGTTGTGCACGCGTGCTAAGATACTTCAGTCGTGTCTGACTCTTTGGGACCCCATGGACTGTAGCTCGCTGGGCTCCTCTGTCCGTGGGGATTCTCCAGGCAAGAATACTGAAGAGAGTTGCCATGCCCTCCTCCACAGGATCTTCCCGACCCAGGGATCTGACCTGCATCTCAATCTCCTGCATTGGCAGGTGGTTTCTTTCATAGCTCCAACTGGGAAGCTCCACAGAGGGTTGGGAAGGTGCTTAACAGACCAGCCTTTGGCATATTAATAACAATGATGACTGGCATCGCAGACGTTCATGGGCACCTCTTCTATGTCTGGCATTGTACTAGAGTTTTAATGCATTCTCTTTTCCAATCCACACCTAATGAAGGGGCTTCCGTTATTATCCCCACTGTATTGATAAAGAAAAGGAAGCTCAGAGAGGTCAAGCAACCTGTCCCAGGTCACACAGCTGTAATAATAAGTGATGGCTGCAGTTACAACTCAGGGTTGCCTTTCTCTAGAGTCCTTATCACACACACCTGAGTTTGAATCTGGAGTCCACACTATGTGATTGTGACTCCTGCCAACCTCCAGGTTTCTCCTATTTTCTTAAATTATAGACATCAAATTTTGGCAATTTCATGTTATTTAGCCTAAGCTTCCTTGGCTCAGATGGTAAAGAATCTGCCTGCAACGCGGGAGACCTGGGTTGGGAAGATCCCCTGGAGAAGGGAAGGGCTACTCACTCCAGTATTCTGGCCTAGAGAATTCCATGGACAGAAGAGATTGGTGGGCTACAGTCCATGAGGCCGCAAAGAGTCAGACATGACTGAGCAATTTTCATGTTTCCTTTATAAGATTGTTGTAAGAATTAAATAAGATAACATATATTGAGTATTTAGCCTAAATTTAGCCTAAAATATAGTAAACAATGAGACCTTTTAGTAATAATCTCAGAGTCAGTATGTTCGTTCAGTATGGATACATTAATCAAGTTATTCCTGGAGAAGGAAATGGCAACCCATTCCAGTATTCTTGCGGGGATAATCTTATGGACAGAGGAGCCTGGTGGGCTATAGTCCATGGTGTTGCAAAGAGTTGGACACAACTGAGCACACACACATGATCCAGTTATTCATAGTCTCTGTGGTTTTCTTGAGACTTTGGAAGCTCCTACACATCCTAATGTGGGCACGTCGGGCCCCAAGGACAGCTGGATGTGGTGCTGATGTGGGGAGAGCTCTCGTTCCTTCTCTGTGACTTAACTTACACAGGGATCCACATGTCTGAAGCATGCATCTGTGTCTGAACCATTGATTCCTTTCTTCCACGTTGCCCACTCACATTCACTTGGGTTCATTACGGGTTCCAAGTCTTCAAAATCACTCAAATCTGATCGCATTACTTTCCTGCTTAAAAAAAAAAATCTCCCAGGCGCCTAACAGAATCAAGGCAAACTCCTTAGCTTGGAAGGCAAGGCCCCTGGGAAACTGCCTCCAATCCCCTTTCTGCCTCTTCCTGCCCCTCAATTCCTTTCTGACCACATTAAATCCCCCTTTGTTCCATGAACGCCACATGAACTTTCAAGCCCTATGCCTTTGTAGGGCTCTTTTCTCTGCCTAGAGAGAATGCTTCCCCCCCACATCTTCTTTGAGCAAACTTCTATACATCTTTCAAAACCCAACTCAGTTTTTTTGCCTTTCCTGTGAAACTGGTCTCCAGCATATCCCTGCTCTTACTTCAGTGACAGTCTGCATACTTCACAAAGTACTGTAGTCATCTGTTCATGCAACTCCCCCACTGGGGATTCATGAAATTCAGGGCTAGGGCTTTCCCTTCTATTCCCAAGCCACCTAGAAGGTCCTAAATAAATGCTAATAAATACTTATCTTAATGTAAATTCTGATCATTTTATTGACAGTAAAATAAGATGTGTGTCTGAGTATTTATACCATTCCTTATTCCAGCAAGATTTTGAAATAGATGTGCATATAACAATCTTTCTTACTCACAAGGAGATATAGAATAGTGCTTTGTGCATCCTATAGTAGAAAGAGCTTTAGAGTTGAACAGTTCTGGGTTCAAATCCTAACTTGGCCTCTTCCTGTGACTTTAACTTTTTTTGGCCACACTGTGAGGCATGCAAGTCTTAACCACTGACCCACCAAGGAAGCCCCCCTCTTACTGTGACTTTAAGTCATTACTTCATTTCTCTCAGTCTTAGTTTTCCTGTCTGTAAAATGTAGATAACAATAATTACCTGTATGGCAGATACTGTTGATAACCACCCAATAGTCGCTTTCCTTCTTACTGCCCTGCATTTTTTTTTTCAGGAATCTACTCCCTCTTCCTTGTGCCCAGGGAAGGGAAGGGAAGGGGGAAATCCTGATTAGTCTAAATAAATCTTGGTATCTTGTTCCCCTTGCCAGTGACTCTTTGGGGGATGGATCTGTGGCTCAGTTCTAGTCAATGAAATATAGGGAGGGATCTTTGGGGGTATGTCTGGAGAGTTGTTTTAGGAAATATTCCCTTCCTCTTAAAACATGAGAGAAACAATTGTCCTTATGTAGCTGGACATTATGTCTAGATCAATGGCTGGGCCCACAGCAGCCATTTTGCTATGATGAAGGCAACTACTTAGAGAACTAAGCCAACACACTAAGGATGACAGAATGGAATTGTGGGGAGAACTGGGGTCCTGGTGGCATCATTCATCACCTGGAGCCACTCATCTCTGGACTTTTTCCTGAGATCATCAGTCCCTTCACTGTTCAGTGAGGGACACCCGGCTCAATCCAGTGTTGTTAAGGTTGCTGTTACTTGTAGCTAAAGGGATTCTAACAGATCAACTTCACAGAGTAGTGGTGATGACTAAACAAAATAAAGTTAATAAAGCACCTGGCACATGTTTAATTCTTAGCAGTTATTAAAGAACTTCCTCTGAGGTGTTCTGAGGCGAATGCACACATGACCCCAAAGACACAGCAGATGGTTACGCAGTAAGGTTTAAAGCAGTGCAGAGATGGGTGGGTACTGGAATGACAACAAAGATGACAACGACAGTGAAATTCGTCCAGTATGTTAGGGAGCTTCCAGATGGAGCTTCTTGGGACTGTAAAAATGGTGTTCCTTTGTACTTCTCAGGCTTCCTGTTAACCCTGGTCAGAATTAAACACTGCACGGCACAGGATTTTCTGCTTTTC